AGAGTTATTGACGAAAAACTAATATGACCTTGATGACGTCATAAATGACGTCACGCAAGGTCAACATGGCAAAAGTGACGCATCTAACCTTGCAAGGAGTGCATCAAATCACGATTCTGTGTGCTTGAGATAGTTGGAGATCGTTCCCGGCGCCAGAATAGCAGTTTTCATTTTTCCCCGTTGACTTATAATGGTGAGGTCACGAAAATGACCTGACCTCATATGACCTTTAGGAAAAATCCGAGATATACAAGTTGTGAGACTCATAATGGATACTAGATCCTGCAAGTTTCATTTCCCTGTGACATCTCCTCTGGCAGTGAGGGCGTTGCGAAGTTGCGACATCTGAAGACCGTGCAGAGGTTCACTTATGACGTCATAGGTCAGTGACCTGACCTGACCCAAAAATGCGGTTGGTGTCAAAAGATGCGGCTTGGATCAAAGGTCAGGTATGCCAAGTTTCAGCTCTCTATCGCCAGCGTGTTCGGAGCTATCGCGAAAAAACCCTATGGGGGGGGGGCGGCACCCGCCCCCCCCCCCCTCGGCCGGCGAGGGTTAAAGGAATCAAGACGTAACAAAAAAAGGTTATACGTGATTCTACTTTATGATCTATCAAATGGCTATCTCGGTTTTTGAAAATTTTGGGTTTTGGCCTATTTTTTCTTCAAAAAATCAGAGAAGTCGTCTATGTGCACCTACATACCAATGTTTAGAAGAATCGGTTCAAAAATGTGGGAGTTATTCAATTTTTATGACGTCACGACACACAGTTTTTTATGTTTTTTTGTAGTTTTAGACCTCGTACGGAAACAAAAATAGCACCATTCGATGTTCCGTGAAAAACTGCATTAGATAGACACCTTTTTAGGTCTTAACAATCAACTTCAAAATTTGACCTCACTTGACCTGACCTTGACCTGGCCTGGTCCTGAAATTCATCCAGATATGGTCCATATCATTTGTTGACGGATTTTACTAATTTTACGGATCTTTCCAGTAGTTTCGGAAATACGGGGGCGGGAGGGGGGCAAAAATGCCCCCACGCGGAAGGTGGCCGGGAGGCCCACCACCTTCTGGGTAAAAAACTTGTGTCTTCACATTTTGGCAAAAGAGTCCGTTTTGGCCGTCAAAAAGCAGACCGATAATTCGATTTAAGTAGGCATACCTATAATATAACGTTCCTAGCTAATCGGGTTTAGAACAGCTTAACAGCTTTGTGTTGGGTCCCACCCATGTCGAGTAATCCCCGTAATTGGAATTAAGTCAATTTAGACATGATGATTGCTGAATGCCGGAAGCTGGCAGTTGATTATTCCTAGACTTGCATTGCAAGCTCCATTTGAAAGAGGCGAGCCATTTGTTGATTTTTTTAACCTACGCCCCGTGGGGGATGTTTGAACAACCCCGTACGGTTTTCGGCACATCTTGTAATGTACATATTTGATCTGATTTCATGTCATTGTTATCCTGTACCTGTGAGGAAGGGCGCCGCCACGCCCGAATATATTGGTTTATGTTTCTATTTCTGATAGAAATGAGCAACAGCTTATTCTTCATCCCTCTAATTATCGTATTTCATCTGCACATACCAAAAAGACCCAGTTTCCTCAAGAGTCAAGGTCAGGGGTCAGGTCACCAGTTCACACTAAGTAACCTTCAGAAAAATGTAATGTTCACAATAGCTACAGCGACGGGACAATAAGGTTTTTTAAACTTGCAGTGGCTTATAAGGATCACAATATTTATTAAAATATAAGATCTCGGGCTTATACGTCAGAACCTAAAATATGAAAAATATGGATAAAAAATATGTGAATAATATAAGCATCGTGTAACCAGTAAGTATTGTATAATGAAATGGAACGTTGAAACCGCAACTCCACATTATATACCTATCCCTGTGTCATCTTAGGGGATTTACCCGCGCCGTGCTGGTGGAGGCGTTTTTAAGCCCCCTCCGTTTTTCGCAAATATCTCACAAAACGGTGCAGCTGCGCTCCAAGGTATTTGACACACCTTTTCATATTCCTTGGATAAAATTGAAATGCGCCTCTTTTGGATGAACGTTTCTAAACACACTCACGCATCAGTTATGGGTAAACATGGTGCACTGAATCGGAAAATTGGACCTCTGACCCCCGTTTTTGTGCCCCTGAGGTCATTTCAGGTCATGAAAGGTCCTCAGCAGTTTTTTACAATAACTTTTCAATAGAGACATGCTATAGCGTTGAAAACACGTCAGATGTGTTTAGCTGGACGACACGGATCGACTGATATGCAACATGACCTTTTCCGGTCAGGTCAGGTCATGACCTTGAAATGCGGACAAATTTTCAAAATGACCTTTCAAGGTCAAAGTACCTATAGTTCATTCAACGCGCCTCGACAGGCGAAACACGATGATGGCAAAAGTAATGTGAATATTTTGAGTCAAAATTATTACAGAAAATATGTTTCATAAAACGGTTATTTTTCAAAGTTTTTGCCCTCTGAAGGCTAAATCGTTGACCTGATGTCAAATATAAAACATGATAGCAAAAGAGCGTTGAAAGAGCTATCGAATGCGCATTTCTGCGGCGCTAGAGCTCTATATTGATTCCCGAGTTATGCGCCGGGTTTTTGAACATTGTTGAATAAGCAAATTTGACCTTTGATGACTTCTGGCGACCTGACCCTCGACCTGACTTACAAAATGACTGGTGTTTTCTTAATTATTCTTGACGCTCTTTCGAATGCCGCTTACCGCGTGTCATTACGCATGACCCAGGAGCCGAGTTAAATGGGGGAAGGCGTGAAAATGCCCCCCCCCCCCTCCCCAGCACGACACGGAAAACTCAGACCACCAGTGCACGAGTGACTATGGTCTATGGTTGACTATGGTCCAATTTTAAAATTGACCTTTCAGTGTTCACTCGGCACGCGTCTTTACGAAAAAGAAGCACGATGCCAAGGCCACGATGCGTTTTACAAGCGATGTAAAAAGCTATCAGGAAAAATCATTGTCACAAAAATGTCAATTTTGATGGTTTTAGCACGGAATATATAGTCCACGACATATTCCGTGGTTTTAGACTTCTGGAGCCGAACCGTTTACCTACCTTGAGTCATGTTGATAGTTATTTAACAAAGCAACTTGTACTTGTAGAGCGCTAGTGTTTTCGTTTATTCGGCAGTGCTATGGCTATTGGCAGTTCTATTCGTTTCCGTGTGAAGAGTTGCTAAAAATACTGATATAGGTGACATTTGATCTTTGCCGACATGTGGTGATAAGACCCTCAATCTGACCTAAACAATGACTGAAGCTATTTCTTCCTATTTTTACGCTCCTTCGAGCGCCTTACTGGATGCCGCTAAGTGAGGCCGAGACAGATCGGGGAGGAGGAATTTACCCCCCCCCCCCATCCAAGTCAGCTACTTAATATTTTTTTTTTTAAATTAAATACTTAATTAAAATTTTGAGAACTTTCGATTGATAAATCTAGCTACACTTGAAGAAACCATACGTTTGAAATAGATGCGCATTTTCAAGTGAAGCTAAGTAGGCTAATCTTCCCGATGTACATGTATGGAACCGATTACCAGGCGATTGAAAAAAGGAAAAGAAAATTATAAATAAACCCGCACATAACATCAATAACTGATAATAAACAGTCGTTTAAAGCGCTCCATCATTGGGTCTCATTAGGAAGTCAACGCAGCGATAGCCGATAGGTATGTCTCTGGATCCTCAAGGTACCGTATGATGACGTTATTGTGACCTAGCCTTCGTCAATGTATTATTCGTGGGCGTCGAAGCTGTGAGACAAAAACTTGGAGCGGAAAAAATAAGCGGTCTATTAACGTCTGTATGTACGTAAGTGGCGCTTTAAACGTATAAGGAATAGTTAATGGCATGTGATAAGGCCCGGTAGGAATTGACCCGGAACAGGTTTCATTCCGGTGGTGACAACGCAATTTGCGCCTGCAGTCAGACAAAAACTCCGATCCTTTTGTTTAGGTCTAGCAAAGCATATGCCACATGTTCCGCACATCTGTGTTTAATTTTGATAACGTATGACAGAAGCCATTTCAAAGACACTGGCCGCTGTAGAGCGCCGATCACTCTCCGACTCAGCATTTACCGAACAAAATATTTGGATTACATCAGCCCAGGGGCCTGGTCTGGCTCATAGAGGAGCCGGGTGGCCGAGAAAAACAGCGTACCAAAAAACCGACCTAACTAGGCAGGCAGCAGCAGGAAGCTGCTTTTATGAGCAATGATCAAAGATGAATTTCTTCTTCTTGACAATGACTGCAGGCTGCAGCCGCTAGCCATGTTGCCTCCTCCCCTCCCACCCAGCTTGTCGTTTCTCCTTCAGCATTCCGTTCAGATGCATATGTCTGTGTGTCAGGTGAAGTCGTAACCCTGTTCCTTCGGTAACTGTAATGTGTTTCTCCTCCAGGCTCTCCACCAGACAGCTCGAACAGTTCCTGACCGAGCGGCCGTTTCTGCGGCTCGACTAGGTACCCGGCCGCGTTCCCCGCACGGCCGGGCCCGTTTCTGGCAATAATCCGGCCGGTTCTTAGTGCCTGTTTGGCCGCGGCTCCCATGAGACAAGGCCAGATCACATGTCTCCGTGTGGCGCACTCGACTGGTGCATGATCGCCGGCTGCCACCACCTCTCCAGGGAGGCGCGCTGTGCCCGTAAAACACGACACGGGTGCACGAGAGGCCCAGCGCGACACGTGGGGTGGCGCCGCCGCCGCCGCCGCCGCCCCGGACCACCGCCGCACTGCGCAGCCAGGAATGCATGGCACGGCTATAAATAGATCGGTGGATTGAGGGAACCAGTTGCGTTCTGCAGCAACTTGTGTGATTAGCGGCGGTTTCGGTGTCCGTGAAACGCTACTGACACTTCAACGAACTAGAGCCGATCGTGTGTTTATGTTTTATGCTTCCCTTCCTTGAATCCCGTCATCCGATCCTGTCCTTCATTCCACAGCCTCCGAAAACATTTCGATAGAGCAGTTTCCCTGTATTCTTTCTCAATTAACTGCTGTACAAAGGGCGCGACCAAAACAACGTCTCTTCAACATGATTACACGATGCATTCGAAAGCCTGGTGTGAACGACTGTCCTTACACCTCGACACACCCACTCAACATAAATAATGGAATTAAGACAAGAGCGTGTGCCACGCGCAGCCGGCCACACATATGCGCACAACGATCTTACAAAACAGTCGAGCGAACCTTTCATGATAAATTAAAAGCAGCGAGCGGGCGGTCCGGCCGGTGGGCGTGAAGTGGCCGCACCGGCCGGTCGCCTGGGTCGCCCCGCTGCCTCAGTTCGCCGATATCACAAGTACATGAACAGCCTGTAACCTGCCGACTGCACTACGCCGTCCAGCGACCAGCAACACACAGCATTCGGCTCGGGCGTGAGCCGACCGCCGGACCCACCGGCCGTCCGCGGCGCTATCCGAGCCCGAACCTCGCACGCCGCCAACAATACTTTAACGAAAACTCGTATGTGAACTGCGCTCTCGCGTCCCGTTCCGGCGTGCCTCGGCATGAGCCCGGCCTCTCGGGGAGACTCGCCGAGGTGCGTCTCGGTGCGGCCGGCTCCGGCCGTCGTTTGTACTCGCCCGGGCGCTCGGCATGACTAGAGGACCGGTGCCGCGGCCCACACCATCACAGATATGCGCTGCTGCCCGTCTGTCCTTCTCGCGCTGTGTCTGCCGCCGCCACTCAGTCGGGCAGGCAGAGATAGTCGGCCGGTGGTCTGGCCAGCGCCGGGTACTTGAGCCGCGTCGGCAGCTTGTCGTTGAACTCGCCCAGCTCATTCTCGGCGTAGTGGTCGACCAGGGCGTGCAGGCTAGCGTGAATGGCGTACGGCTTCGAGAAGCCAAAGCCGCGCTCCGTTCGGTCGATTAGACAGTGCTGTACCTGGCCCAGAGCGCGGATCGACAGGACGTACATCTCTGGCCGATCGCGGCGCCGCCGGATCAGGAACGTACCGTCCGGCTTGTCGCTCAGCACAGCGTCGGCACGCTGCCGGTCCCAGTCCTCGAGCAGCCAGTACTCCTCCTGTTCGGAGAGCGGGGTGACGCCGGCGCCCCTGTCTGTGACATCGGTGTCCTTGCCGACCTGCAGCTTCTCCAACCGGTCCTGGGTGATGCCGCGCCAGCGCAGCTCCCTCAAAACCTCGCTCTTGAACTGCTGCAGACTGCGCTCCTCCTGCCGCACGCTGATCAGGCCATGGTCGGTAGTGCGCGCGTACGGATGCTGCTTGGCCAGCTCCTCCTCCACCTGCTCCTTGCAGTGCCGCACCTGCTCCAACCTGCTCTCCAGTAGCTGGAAGTTCTTTGAGAGCCTGTCGAAAGAAGAACAATGCCGTCAGTAACGGATAAATGCACAGCGACGAAAACAGACGGCAGATTCTAAGAGTGAACGCACTGTGGGGGGTTATTGGAAACTACCTGCTGCCGAGGCAACATCTCCAAAGGATGTGTTCGCGGAGGTAGCATCAAAATGAATTTCGCTGTCAAACAAATTAAACCACTTGTCCAGAAAATGAAACTACCTGCCAGTATGCGTGCACACAAGACTAGTGGCAGCGGCGGTTATTTATTTTCTGCAGTACGATTTCCGAGCCATCGACTGGCACGAAGAGCGTTCAGTAAACACACAGCCCTTCGGCCGCATATTTTCAGGAGTGGTCTGGCCGACACGTGTCTCGCCGCCTGGGGGCCCAATAAACAGTCGACCACTGCGACCGGGCTGGCCTTGAGGGCCTTCCAAACACAACTTTTCTCGGCAAACAGATCGGTTCGCTGACCGGTCCGACATGGCGCCCCAGGCCCGCGCCAGCCGACGTTCCCGGCGACCCCAGGCCACGCTCCCTTCCACCCTCAATCTACCCCGCGGCAAAACCCGTCCCCATCTCCCTGTCAATACTCACTGTTCTTTCTCATGGAGCTGCGCTTTGCTGCGGTTAGCCAAGTGCAGTTCGCGTTGTTTCTCCAGCATATGCACGAGCTCGATATACGCCTCGAGCGCCTTCTTCTGGATGGTGATGCGCTCCGTGACAGAGTTTTTCAGCTTCTCCAGCCGCTCCAGCTCGCCCTCGAGCTTGTCGTGCCTCGCGTGGGCTTTGCACAGCTTCTTGATGAGCTCAGCCGCAGATTCGGAGGCGTGCTGCAAACACAAGGGGCGTACCGGTTAGTGGAGCGTTCGGGCCGGGGGTCGACGTTTGCAGACGGGCCGCAAACAGCCGCTGACAGGTCAGCCAACAGTGGGGTGATTCAGCACGCGGTTGGGGGCTGTATTGTTTGGATATGCATTGAGATTGCCGATAGGACACTAGTTACACTTAGTGTCCTATGGCTGTCATGTACTACACGTTGGACACAGCTCGCTGCCCTCCCGCCCTATGGACGGGCGGCCGGCGGAACATAATACAGTTCCGGTGACATAGAGAGTGTCGGGACTGCGACACGCCCACCCGACCAGCCAACAGCGGGGACCAGTCGGAGCCGCTCCCACCGGACACACCCGCTAACGGCCCGGATCCACCAGACAGATCCCCGATCCTGCGCAGTATCAGATCCAGACAGATCCGCAGCTGGCTCAGACTGAACAATGAGCGTGCAGCCCAATTCATCCAATTTAATCCAATTAGACTAATACCACACCGACATCGGGAATGCCAGCCGGCTGAACCCGCCACCTCAGACTGAATGACCCTGACATGACCCCACCCGCGCGCCCCTGGCCAGAGACGAATACTCACCGGTCGCGGCTCCGCGAGGGGCCTCTCGAGCCGCACGTCCAGCTGAGCGTTGTATTCCCTCAGGCTTTCTCTCCGGTAGTGGTCGATCAGACTCGCCACCGAGTCGAACTGGTACGGCTCCGAGAAGCCGAATTTGCCGTATTTGGAGCAGATGCGGATGAGCCGGTTGTTGCCGCCCTTGCGCAGACAGAGCGTGTACTCGCCGCTGGCCGTCTGAGAGTCCCGCACCAGGAACGTGCCGTCCGGCTGGCCGTTGAGCTTCTCGGAGGCCTCCTCGCGACTGATGTTGCCCCAGTACCACTCAGGCTTGGGGTCGAGCTCGCGGCGCAGGTAGGTTGGCTGAGACGACTCCCGGCTGATGCGCGGCGTGGCATCCCGGCTGGGTCGGGGAGGCAGGGCCGGCGGCGGCGGGTCCCACGCGGTCACATTCGGCCCACCCCACTCGTAGTTCATCACGAGCAGCTCCAATACGCGTGTGTGAAGAGACGATCGCTCCACCCACGTCCTGTAAACAGAGACAAAGACATAGCGTCAGGCCACAAAGGTCACACACACACGCATACACACACCGGTGTCCCACAATAGACAGGCAGACGGACATACCCATGACGACAAGTTTTCGAGGTCGGGCCTCCACAGCTCGCGGGACCACAAGGACAGCGCCCACCGTGCCCACCCCGCACACACACACACGCGCGCGCAGACAGACATACACAGGGAGCCGGCCGGCCGGCGCCACATCACTAATATCCACACACTGGCGAGCATATCACCGTCCCGGGTCAAAAACACCAAACACTCACTCAGAGATGGTCCTTGCCGTCCAGTTCGCACGTTTCCATCGCAGAAGAGTGTCCAGCTCCCACGAAATAAGCACGAAACGGCGCAGCGCGCACCAACACCTCCACCCCGGCCGCAGTTTTATCAACGAATCCAGTCGCCGGCTGCGCCAAGGCCGGGGCATTCAGCGCAGCGCCACCACCGGCAGTATCGACGTGCGCCGGCGCCGCTGCGCTGAATGCCGGTCGGCCTTCGGGCGGACGGCTGCCCGAGCAGGCTGTCGGCCGGCCGGCGCCCGCTCGGCCGAGTGGATATGTCACAACGGCCGGCTGACGTCAGCTCGGTGCCTCTCAGCGCCGGGAAACGCACATAATGGTGCGTGTGCGTCACCACCCGGGGTGCGCACGTGCCGTGGGGAAGCAACAGACGTCGTCGGCGCACTTCAAAGCGGATTACTCTGAATGTGGGATCAGAAACTCGGGTGGCAATGGAAGTCGCATTTACAATGCCCAATGCAACTCCACTCATCCTATCACCCAGACTCCGATTTCTCTCCTGAACTTCAACCACTAACCCAGCCTGGGGCCCAGCCAACGCAGCCGGTCCGAAAATACCGAAACCAGCCAGCTAAAATAACTAACGAAAATAGAGGGGCCGGCCGGCGTGCGGTGTCCGCCGGCGACCGGTCCGATCGGGCGGCCCAAACCGGGCCGAGCTGACAGCCGGCGAGGTCGCCGGCCGGCCGGCGCGGTGGCGCCACTCGGTGGTCCGAGCCGCGCCGCGTCGCCGGGCCCGAGTCGAGAGCGGCGGCATCCGTCGACCGCCGCCGGCCGGTCGTCATTTATCTGACGTCCGCGCCGACGGCGGAGGGGTGACGTCTCTCCGTCCGTCGCGCCCCTGAGCCGCCAGGAACCGGTCAGCGGCCAGGCCGAGCTCGGCACCGGGCGCCACACGTGGCATCCGACACACTCGCGTGTTCGTATAGACGGTAAAAAATCCACAGCCGGTTCGGAACACGGCGGAAAACGGACGCCAGGCCGCCGCACCGAGGCCGGGGCGGGACACGCGGCTCGTGTCCGCGCTCAGAGTCGGCGGGCGGGCGGTCGTTGCGCCGCTGAGTCAGGTGCTGAGAATGTGTGCCGGTCCTGCAGGCCCACCGTCGCGCCATGCACACGCTGTTTACATGGCCCGACGGGCACCGACGGCTGTGGCGCAGTGCTCGCGAGCCGGCCATGGCACGGCACGGCCGGTCTCGGCAGAGACCAGACAGACAGTTGCTCGGCAACCGACAGGAAAACCAGACAGCCAGCAAAAACGGCCCCGGCGAGACATGCACGCCCGGGAAATCAGCCACGCGGCGGCGGCGGTGGGGCTGACTGCGCCAGTCTCCCCTTTGGGCGGGGGCGGGGGCGGCGGCGGTGGCGGGGGCGGCCGCTGGCAGCTCAGTGTCCCGAGGGCTCCTGTCGGAAGTGACACGCCACCGGGTCTCCAGCCAACCGCCGGTCCGTGACCCACTTTTGGTGCCGCTCCGCAGTCCGCCGGCGCGTCCCTTATTTATCCGATCGGCGCCGCTGCAACAGCTCCAGCCGCCGCCAGCGGCCGGTCGCGCGCAGCGGCCTGACCCGAACCGGCCCGATACAAGATGGCCGCCCGGCCGGCGCGGCGGGAGCACCGACAGTTCGCCGGCCGACAAACAGCCTCCGACATTAGACAGACGAGTCTCGAGGCCGGCACTCCCACCCAGAGATGACGCCACACGGCTCACAGAGGGACGCACACATATACATATACACACACACACCCATACATACAGACAGACAGAAAAACAGCCGGCGCACATACGGAGCACAGGGCGGCCACTGTTCCCTGGAGACGGCAACTCAGTGCGACTGTCAAGGGGAACAGGGCCGCGTTGAACGCCCACTGATATGTCGCAGATAGCACACGAAAACAGTGATACACACGTGTGTCCACGACCCCACCGAGTGATAATACGCCCAGGATCGATGCTGGCCAGACCAACAGCCGCCGCAAGTCCCATGGGAAACATCGAATCAAAATAAAAGCCGCTTTCACATTACATGCACTGACACACCAACAAGCATGGCTTTCGGTTACCAGTCAGCCGGCGGCCTCCTTTCATTGACAAGTCCCTTCCACCAGCCCTCCCCTCTTTCCTTCCCTTCTACTCACGTTAGCTGGTCGTACGGAGGCCGGATGAGGACAAAGCTGAGCGTCTTGAGCAGCTGCGCGGGCGGGAAGCGGCAGCCCCGGTCCTGCTGTAGCCGACACAGACGGCACACATGGCGCATCACCAGTCGCAGAGTGGCAGCGTGGTGGTCCTGCAGGCGCGACACGAACGCGTCCACATCCGGCGCGCACCCCTCCGCGCTATCCTTGTAGGCTGCGAGGAAGAAAGGAGAGGGCACGGTCAGACAAATATCAAGGGCACAGCGCGGAGAAAATATACACTGCACATCAACAACAGCGACACTTTGTTATTCTTGTATGCATTTATTCGAGCCAGTCTGGCGAGGGCTCGTCCTCGCCTATCCACAACATCTCTTTCGAGTTTTACGTCCGTCCCTTCCGCGTCGTAGGTTTATATAACACCCCTGTCCCCCACACAAGTGTCCACGCTGACAATTTTTCAAAAACATTCATCGTTACATAAGCTTTGAAAGGCGTGCAGAACTGCGCACTGGTGGTCAGCCAAATGCGCCGCGTGCGCCACACATGTCACGCCGAGCCGCGGCGTGCCAGACCAGGCCCCGGAAGGTCCGTCGCGGCCGTGGTGTGTCGTGCGCCGGCGTGGCGTGTCGGTAGACGGCCCCGCCCGGGTGGCGCCGGTGTGGGGTCGACGGGTACACCTCCTCCCACGGCCGACTCTCGACAGGGAGAGGAGAGGTACGCACCTCGCGACCCGCACAATTCCGCCCCTACACCACCCACGGACAGACGGCAGGGAGAGAGAGAGCAGGACGCCGCGTGGGACGAGCGCTGCCGGCAGCGGGCACGATACCGCGACAACAGGAGCTCACGGTACTCTCCCGCTAATCGCATCCACGTCGATCAATGCCCGCAATAACACAAAACCAATCTAGTTAGCGAGCGCTGACCATCGTCAGATACGCGCGCGGGCGGCGAGGCGGTATTTTCCGTCTACGCCGGTGGCTAAGCCCGCTGCAGCGGTTTCCACGATCAGTGAACCCCGCAGCCGACCCCGTGCCGTCGCGCTGGAGCGGTGCCATCACAGGCAGACACCGGCGCCGCCAGCCCACGCGCGGCACCGCGGTGTTTGCAGCGTATTTCGCCTCCACGTGTCGTTGGCGCAGCGCGTGCGTGCGCCGCCCGGCCGTCCGTCACAATGGTCGGCGCTTATCCTGCTGATCACGCGCGAGGCCGACTAGTTCGCTCTGCCCACCTCTTAACTCTCTCCCCTCGTGATTTGGCCTGGTTGCAACACACGGCACCCAGCCGGAGCGGCGCGGTTGGAAACAGCGGGTTATATCAGCCACCCGGGACGTGGATACGAATGTGGGTCCATCCCCGTCCCTCGGTTCGAGAGATTAGTGTCACGGCACGGGCCTGTCTGTCGGCAGAGGACTCCCGTCCCGCACCGTGACATTGAATGTGACGTGACGGGCCCTAAGACAGTGCACTCCCAGGTCCGGCCAGGTGACACTCGCACCACCGAACAGCTGCGCCAGCCGAGCGAAATAGCTGACATTTCGATTTCCCGAAATTCCCGCTGGGATAACGAACCAGCGAGGCAGATAATTGGACCGGCCGGACCAAATTGGTCCATCGATACCACTGTCATTAATCGGCCCATAAAACGCCACACTTGCCAATAAATAAGGTCTGTTTTCAAACACAATGACAATTAAAACTAACTGAGGTTTGTTAGTCAAACTAGTTTATACGATGTCAATCGATCAAGGATTCATTTCAGTTGTGATTGAATTTGCGATGTTAAACACACTGTGAAAATAAACAAGCAGCGTGACAGAATAGCAAAGAGCAATACCATATTCAGCACAGCTGCAACTAAGTTATTTCAAGCCAGCTGCTACAACCCCTGGCACATCAACCACGACGTTTCTGATGCAACTCCATCCGAACTCGACACACTAGCTGATAGAGCCCCAGAGTGCAGAGCGCAAAACACTGCCTGACGACACATCCCGGCTGGTAAATAATTAAACAACGCCTCAGTTGCAGGACTTGATCAACAACAGAGGACAGAGGCTGGCGGTTGGTGGGCGGCTGCACGTACCTTTGGCAAGTGTCAACATGTCCTCATAAGCTTCTGTAGGTATCACAGGGTTGGGCAGCTGGGCCAGGTACTTTTTCACCAGACAGCTCACGTGTGAGAGGTCAAACTCGCCGAGGTCGGCGCCCTCCGGATCTGAAACAGGAGAAGACGAGTTGTCAGTAAGTTATCCTTCACATTTCCAGTCACATACACACATACACAGCGCACATCTATGTAGAGCCAGACTAATACGAATATATATTGCGCTAGACCGTGTGAGGTATGCGACAATATGGTTCATCCCATAGCGTTGATTCAGTTATCACAGCGTAAACACGCTGTTCCACGAATGTCGGCGAGTTGATGCGTCTCTCGCTCTCTCCGCTCTCTCTTGAGCCGATCGATACCACTAGCACGGTATAACGTCAGAACTCAGAGCAGCCAGCTGATCGCCCAATTGGCATGCAGAGATACTACCTAACAGCGGCACAGCTATATCAAACGACACATATCGTCATTTTCCAATATCACATTCAGTGAAGCACCACCTCAGCGTCCTCGACACTAGAGATAAGCATCTAACCCAACTCTAAGCTCCTGCCAGCCGATCGACCCCTGGCGGCGACCCGTAAACTCAAGCTTCACCGTCTCACCGCCGGGCGGCCACGGCGCAATAGGCGGCCACCCCAAGAAGGGAGGGGGGAGGGGAGACCATGACGGCACGTGCCGGGCCGCCCCAGAGAAAATGACACCCATCTAGTAAGACGCCACTGCCGGTCGGCCGGCTCTTGCCCAAAATGAAATAAATAAAGAAAAATAAAGTCCCAAAGTAGCCCGAGACCAAGATTCATTTGAGGTCATATTTTAAGACCAGAAATAGGCCGTCGATTTATAACGTGTCGTCGGATAGAGCGGCACTGAAAACTTCCGATGGTATTCAATAACAGTCAGAAAATTTTATAATTTAAATATGGCTGCAAAGAAGTATTTGGATACGTTTTTGCCGACAAATGAGGTTTCTATGTCGGGTGTTGGTGTCTGCAAGAGCCCGTCTGTTTGCACGCCAGCCATCTGACATTCGAGACACCGCCAGCCCGAAATAGCCTATAACCGCCAGCATCAGCACCCGAACCGCGAGCGCGCCGCCTATGCATATGTATCAGCATACAAAGCAGGGGCCCGTCGTGTTACATCGGCCCGGACCATGTGGAAAACCGGTCCGATTTGCACTCGGACACGCGGGCCCCTCGGCCGTACACGCCAGATAGCGACGACGAGCCCAGCCCTGGCCGCCACTCACCGCGCTCCAGGGCGTCCCGCAGCGGCTTCAGGTCGTCCCAGGTCGGCGTCGTCTCCTCGTAGATCTCATAGCAGTTGATGTGCCGGTCGCGCTCGCAGAGACGCTCCAGCGCCGATAGACAGGCGATCAGCACGGGCGGCCCCAGCTGTCGGCCGGACTGGAAGGTGGCGGTGAGCTCGGCGCCGAACAGGGACGGCGCCGGCCGGCCCACGGTTCCGGGCTCGCAGGCGGGCAGGCCGGCCGGCTGGGAGCCGCAGCGCCGGTGCACCACCAGGCCGCACTCTGTCGAGCGGAGGAGGAGAGGCACGTCAGACCCCATAGCGGCGCCGGCCCGGCACACAATGCCGCGCCTGTTGAGCTAGGACGGTGCCGGTGCCGGCCGGACGGCCCGGCTCCGGTGGCCCAAAACGGGGCGGCGGCGGCGCCACGCACCCAGTCACAGCAGTTTGAAGTCGATCCCCCGACAACAAAACAGCCCGGATACACAGCGGTCGTTGGGCGTCCCCGGCCGACCCGACCCAACACTTCAGACCTCCGGTACACAAAACGACCCAATGTGAGAGCACATCAACCCCCGTACACAAAACGACCCAATGTGAAAACATATATCACCAGAGCAGCCCAACCCGGCTACAGGAGACACGAAACCGGACCCCAAACCAAAAGACCCTGAGCTTCCCAACTCCACTGCAACAAACCACAACAGAGGACACCAGCAGACCACACAGACCCCACACTAACCACAAACAACACCTCTCCACAGTCCACCCGAACGCCACAAGGACACTTCACAGTACACCTACATGTAGCGATTCGGCCGTCACCGTCTCACAGCAACATAGCGCCACCAGATAGGCGCGTGATACGGCCCGCCGGCCCGCGGCACCATTATCCGTGAGCGCTGCACGGCGGTGCCTAGCAACACACCGCGCTCGGGTCGTGGTGACCTCGTGAGGGCGGGGGGGGGGGGGGCGGGAAGGTCAGGCGAAGGCGAGTGACGCAACGAGTGACTCGGGGCGGCCGCCTACACACGACACGGCCGTAAAGACGAGAACTAGGCAGGCTCAGACATCACGACGGGCACGCCCAATCGCCCGAAAACAGCCAACACCACACGACACCAGCATGGCATGAGCAATTCCTGTCTCCAAGCTACACCCAGATACCCAGCCCTTCTCTGTAAATTCCAGCTCACAGTCACAGTCCCACGATCCCGACCCGCTCACCGGTGCAGCTATATCCCTGGTGGTCCGTTCCGATCAGGTACAGTCCACACACGTCGCAGGTTCGAAGTGTGCTGAAGCTGTCCTGTCGCAGCTGGTGCTCGGAAGCCGAGTGGCCGGCGGGCGGGTGGCCGGGCCGGATCTCTCCGGCCGCCCCGCCCTCACCCGCCTGTAGTCGGCGCACGGCCATCAGCAGCATAGTCTGGGTGAACGGGTCCTTGATGCCCATACTCTGAGGAAGCAGAGAGGGAAATGTTGTTAGAGGCATGGTCGTGGTTAGAGGTTGGTGCTATTAAACAGGCGAGATGACTGAAGGTAACACATAAAAACCGGCGTACACGAGGGAGAATAAAACTCAGTGGAAACATACAGCCAAGAACCAGCGCAGTGCCGGTCGTCGCGGAAGCATGGTGCAACGCTGCAATTGACGCGGAGAGGAAGCCGCCGGGTACAGATTAGAATCCAGTTCAGACCGACTCTGTGTACCCAGGCGCCAGCTCGGAGGGAGGGACGGGGAGGGGTTGTGTGATTTCGGCCACCACCGACAAGTACGGCGCAGTAGGGCCGGAGGCGGGGCGTGGGGAACAGCGTCGCAGCAGCATGTGACCCCCGCCCCGCCCAGCCGGGCCCCCGGGGGGGCCGCCCAGCCCCCTGACGTCAGTTCGCGGCCCAAGCCGTGTAGGCTTCACACGGTCTGCACGGGATTCATAAACAGCCGGCCATCATAACAAACCCTTGCTGAGGAGGCTGACACGACCCGGGTCACAGGAGATCGCTGATCGCCCGGAGCGTCAGCCGGTGTCAGCACGAGAGGCAAATCAACCCGGACGGAGGCGGTGTTTTGTATGCCGAGAGAGCGACGGTCGTCGCAGCGAGCAACACAAAAAACTTCGTACCGAGCGCCGCCAAAAACGCACATATCATTAGCTGCACGCTGGCGAGGCGCCGAGCACGCCAGCAACAGGACAGCGCTGCCGCCGGCCCCGTCTGACACGCAACCCCGGCGCGTGGTTTCTCAGCAACAGAGGGTCGCCCACGCACGTCCCACACCGCGCAGAGAGCCAGACACTCCAACAGACAGTCCGACATACCTACAGACAGCCGGCCGGGAGCCGGCCCTGCGGCGGTCGCCTCCCCTTCAGATACGGCTCACTCGGTTTATGGCTCGTAAAGTCACAGACTCAGCCGGAGGGGGACGCAGCGCGGCCGTAAAGCGTCGCACACCGGTTGCCATCGGCGCACAGCCGGCGTTGGGGCAGGTCGGCCCCAACAGCTGCTGCCGTTACTCAGCTGTGCTCGCACTCTCTGTCACTCAGGCTTACATGAATCATTGAGGGCGAGGGAAAAAAACGTCGAAAAAACGCCAAAACCACGCGGCGCTGTGGCGGTGCGACCTTCGAGTCACGGGCCTCGGGCGTGCTACAAAGACAAACAGTCAGGAGCTCAGAGGATGGCGGCCGATTTGGCGCGGCTAACCGTGCGCCCGGCGGTCGGCCAGTCACCAGGCCGGCCGGCGGGCCGCGGCGGCACGGGCGGCGGCTCGGGCCGACCGAAGGTCGCGCTATCGCCGCCCGGTCCGCCTAGTAACGGCCAGATAGCGCGGTGGCCTGTTTGCTGGCCGGCCGGCCGCCTGTCGCGGCGCGCGCGTCAACACGCTGTCCGAGCTGTTTATAGTTTACAGCCGGTCTGAGGCGAGACCGGGCGGTCGGGCCGACCGAGCCCGGACCGCCGCCGCCGCCACAAACCACGGTGCACGGCCAGCGCGGCGGTCCGACCGCCGGATCAGTGGCGGCGGCAGGCGCATCCAGTCGGTCGGCCCGGCCAATCGGGGGCAGGCCACGCTGCCTCCCAGCCCCTCCCCTTCCCGTCCGTCCGTCCCCGCGCTCCCCTCCCCTCCCCGCGACCTCGTTCCCCGCAGCACCTGGCCTCTAAACCAAACCGTTCGTGCCCGCCGGGCGCGCTCTCGCTCAAGCAGCTGGGCGTCCTCTCACCCGAACCGTTCGACGCTATAAACCGTTTGGCATCCGGGCGCCCGTCGACCGCCCGGCAGTTTCCCTCTCTCTCCTTTATTTCATTGTCCGTTTTTCAGGGCGCCCGGCGGTCCGGTCGTTTGGGGCCAAATTCGCCGCGCGGCCGGCGGCCGACCGCCTCTGCTGGCTCGCTGGGCCGAGGCCGCCCGGACGGCTGGCTTCCGGGCCGACCAGGCGGGGACGCCGACCAGTCGGCGGCGGCGCTGGCGCCATCTGCGGCCGACCGCCGACCAGAGGCCAAAGAAGGCACCACCGCGCCGACTCGGCCGGGCCCGGCCGGCTCATCACCCGGAGAAGGCCTCACGCGGGTGACGGACAGCGGTGCGACAGCGAGCGAGTTTCTCCGCTGTGCCGATACCATCTCCCACCCCGCTCTGCTGACAGGCCGGCCGCGGCGGATCGGCCGACGAGTCAGTGCTGGCCGGCGTCCCAGCCGCGAGCGATACCATCAGCGGCCAGCAGCCAGCGCACACCGGCCGACCGGCGCCGGTTCCCGGCCGGTCAGCTGACCGCCGCCGCCGCCACAGCCACCAGGAAGTCTCGGCCGCCGGCTGACCGGCGCGCGGCGCGCCAGCTCTCCGCCGGGTCGCCGCCAGAGCAGACAGATCTTCCGCCCGGCGCGCGGCCATCCGACACGTGCAGACGGATTACAGCTCATGAGAGCGGGATTCCCTGCCTCTCGCGGCGGCGGCCAGACGCCCAGACGGGCGTCCGCTCCGGTTCCTCCCAGGCCGGGGAGTGGCCGACCCGTCACGCGAGCAGGCGGCATTCCGCCGAGCGCAGGGGAGGCGGCCGGCTCGCGCGGTGTTGAAACCCCGCAAGGTCACCTGAATTCCATCCGCCGCTCACCGAGGTATTCGGCCGGGCGCGCGATCTCTCCCTCTCCTCTCCGCTCTTCCGTTCGCAGAACTGCCCGGCCCATTCCCGGAATGTGGGGCGTCCCGGGCGGCACGGCACGTGCACTCCTCCCCTCTCCCCTCCGCTGAGTGCCCAGCTGGGTGTCCCCTCCCGCCGGTGCTCCCCACAGTGCGCGCGGGACGCCCCCTGCCCGTCCCCGTCCATCAACCCATTCCCAGCCGACTTACCATCAATTTCTCCTTGTCCAGATTGAGAAGTTGCATACCATCAACGTTCATAGACTTCAAGCATTCAGCAGTAGATATCATGTTGATTGACCCCACCCATTCAAGCACATTGTTGGCCGTCCACTTGTGTATTGGCTGAAACAGAGGGGGAGAAACGATCATTAGCCAATGGTAACGACACGATGATAATGAAACATTCACACAGCACAGGGAGGTGGTGGGACGCTCGATGGCCGTTCCTATGGCGGTCGCTGACCGGTCCCACCCTCCCAGGGAGAGTGGGGAGAGCAGGGAGCGGCGGATAGAGCGCGCGCGGCCAGCGACAGGCCGCCGGCACACTGACAAAGGGAAATGGCACGCCGCTGTGACCGGCGGCACACACGCTCGGTTCGGGCCGCCGGCCGACAGTGCAGCGCTGGGAGCTGACAGAATATGCCGCTGGGCGCTGACCGTCCGAGCGCCGCGCGCGTGCAGAAGGTGCGCGCACCCGTCAGCTCAGGGCCGGGCGGCACACCCGGATCCAGCAGGCGGGGGTGCAGCAGGCCGTCCTGCTGCACCAGCTAGCTCATTATGCAGTTGCCAAGGGCGCACGGCCGCTGCAGCCGCCTTACGGCACTTTCAAAGCCGATGGCTCAGCATTTATTCGGCACCGAACAATGGCGTGAGCTGGCGCGGCGCACTGCGCGCAGTGGGGTCCGGTCCGACCGGCCACGGCAACAGGCACCGGCACCGATCCGACCCGACCCGACCGCCGCCTCCGCTCCGGTGCCGCCGCCCCGGAGCGCCGATTCGGTTCGGCTCGGCTCGGTTCGGTGCGGCCCGCAGCGCGGCTCCGAAGGCCATCCGGCCACCAGATGAGCGCCAGCCGGCCGGCCGGCCGACCGGGCGGCCATTTCTGGGCCACGAGCGACCTCCCCCGCCCGGGCGAGTCCAACTCGCCTGGCAACAGCCAATCGGAGGCCGCTGCGTGACGTAACGATCCGCTGCAGCGGCGACCGGCCGGCGGCGGGCGGCCGCCGGCGCCGCGTGCACCAGGGAAAAACTGACCGGCCCGTCCACCACCGCACCGCCATCCGAAATTGGCCAAGCCGTCAACTCGGCCTGCACGAGCGTGCGGCTCGTGCGACGGCCGGAACAGCGGCCGCACTCGGCGCTGAGCTGCCGCTCCTCGCCGGCCGGGCCTGGGAGCGCCTGCGCCGGCCAACAAAGAAAGATTCCTGGCCCGGTGCGGCCGGCCGGAGCGCGTCCTATCATCGCTCATCTCTCACAGGCCGTGCGCGCCCGGCGCCGCGACAGGCTCCGAATATTTCGGGCGCCGACCCGTCGAGCTCGACAAGACCCGCCCGACCTGAGCGGCGCCGCATCTGAAATGAGCCTGAGAGCCGGTCCGTGGGACTGGCCGGCCGCATGGCACACTTCGAGGTCAAGCACGGGTCACCGGCCGCTGCACTGAAGGCAGACTGTCGGGAGATGGGCTAGGGTTTAGGAGCATCACCTACTCAGGTGATAGGCCCAGTCATTCGATAATGACTGTGCTGCAAGGATTTTTGCAATACTGTGTGACGGTGACGGCCGTCCTGCCCGATGGGGCCACCGCCTCGGCCGCGCTGGGAACCAGGTCACGCCTCAGCAGCTAGCCGAGCGCCGCAGCCTGTCACAGCCATATAACCAGAAATGATCGACCACGTATAAATAGCACGGCGTCGGTACTGACATGGGAGGCGGAGCGGCTGCGGCGGCGGCGGCGGCGGAGCGGTCTCAGCCGAGCCGCAGCTCGCTCAATGGCACCTCATTCAGCGCCGACAGCACACAGGCGCCGCTATTTCCAGCGCCAGGTCAGCCGTCGCGGTCCGGGGGCGTGAGCGGACCATCACAGAGCCCCGCCGGAGCCGACGGAGCGGCGCAGAAGCGGCTCCGTCGGCCGAGCCTGGCGCACCGCCCGCTCTACCAGCGCTCTCACAACAAAGGACGCACGGTCGCCCCTGCGCCGGCGACACCCTCCGAACTCACTGCGGCCTCGGGCAGCCGCCCATCGCGAGTCCCGCTCGTGCCGCCACGGCTCGGTTCGTGACCATAATGGGCCGAGCGGGCCGGCCGGCCGGCCGCGGCGCAGTGCCGACCGCCTAGCAACGGCCGGTAGGGGGCGCGCGCTGCGCCGCCCAGAGCCGCTCGGCCGCGGAGAAACTGCAGAGAGGAGGGAGAGGAGAAACGGCCGGCGGACCGGGCGGCGCCGCCGGCGGCCGCGGCCCGGTCGTGTTGCCAGGCTGCGGCGGGCCAGCCGCGCCCAGTCGGAAATGTCACCCCGCTTCACCGAATCGAACGAATGCCCGCTGTGACGGTCGGCCGGCGGCGGCGGCAGTTCGTGCTGACCTCGGCAGGTCATCATCCCGACCTCGACCTGAACGCGGCCTGGCTCGGCAGGTCAGCGGCCTACCTTGGCCCAGGGCCGGCCGGTCGGCGCCGGGCCGAGCGGGCTCTCACCTCGCCCGGCCAGCAGCGCGCGGCCCTGGCGGCTGCGGCTGCGGCGCAGTCGGGCCGGCCACCCTTTTGGGGCCCCTCGCCCGACCACGTGGCTGGCCAACCGGCTCGGCTCGGGGCGGGCTGTCCGCCGACATACTGGGTCAGAGCTCCGCCAGCCGCCGGTGGAAGGTCGCGGCGCCACGGGGCTGACCGCCGCTCCATCACTCCAGTAGCGCCAGCGTCGGCCAGCAACAGCAGTCATCGCTCACGGAGCCGCCGACATCAGGCGCCTCTCGGGACCCCTGAACTGCAGCGCGGCACGTGGGCCAGGCCGCCACCGGACACCCCGCTCGCCCCGGGCCGGGTCCGGTCTCCGCGTTCCAGCGACCGGCGGTAGATCGCGCCCTCGGTAACGGACACCGTCCCCCGCGTGCACCGTGTCACCGTGCACACAGCTACCGGAGCGGAACAGGGACAGGACGCAGCCCGGGTCCCGGCCGCAGGTGACAGCCGACTGCTGTAAAATGGGCGACGACCTGGCCCAGAATCTGGGAAATGAGGATCGTGTTACGTAACGCACTCCCCTGTCCAAACGAGCGAGCGAGCGACCAGTCAGCAGAACGACCGACAAGCAGGCAGACCGGCGGTGGCTATTTGATGAACGCCAAGGTTCATGATAGCGACTCGAGAGACACGCAATGAAGCCACGCACCAGTGGCAAAGCGTCTCTACAAAGGCTGAAACGACTGTCTTGACCGTTGTAACGATTATAAAACTGGAAGACCGAAGCAGCTGAATAGGATGAAGGCTTCTTACATGTTAATCCAATTCAGGATAAATCAAAATTTTCCACCCAGCCATCGGCCAAGGAACGAATATGGAAGCGCGACGGCACCGCGGAAGGATCAGAGGTGCAGCTCAGCAGAATGGAAAAGCCGAGACGAGTCGGTTCGTCCAGCACGGCTCTGAAGACCAGGATCAGTCGGGCGGAGGGTACAGGCCGCCGAAACACTGCCGACTCAACACGAAAAGCCCCAGCAAACACAGTAGGTGTGGCACTTGGCATAGCACTCGGCACGCTATGCTACATAATTTACGGTAGGTGGCGCCGTCAAAATTGGCCTGCAGCAGGGGTGAGCAGGGAACAGCCGCAGTTGAACAAACAAGCCACGTAATGCAGACATTTACGTTGCGACATAATGACTATTCCGCAAGAAAACTAAAATTACTCATTGCTGGCACAAGGGGAGCGCGGACGCCTGTATTCCACTATCCCAAGTGAGAAATACGGCAGAGAAAAGGCTCAATCAGCACCCACTACGATCACGTGAGGGTCTCCTGACAGTGTGGTGTCAGGGACACAGCTCACGTCCGGAGGTGGGGAGATAGGTTTTGGTCCAGTCAGCATAGAGTCCAGCGGGACAGAAGCCACACCCAGGGCACAGGGAGGTGAGAGAAGGTGGCATTTGGTCCAAAGGCAGCGAGCTGACCAGGACAGAACATCAGACGATACCGCCTCTGGCAACCAGGCGTCTGGTGTGGTATACAACTCCGCCAATTCCACGCAGCGGGGACATTCAAAGGAGTCGACTCCACGCGAAGCTGGCTGCCCAGTGACGGCACGGAGCAGGACCGTGCGTCACGACATGTCGTCAGCCGTCACCGCTGTGCAGTCGGCCATATTTCGGGCCGGCGTCCTTCGTGTCCGCCAGTCGATACAAGGCGCTGTGGCCGCAGCTCGTTCCAGACCGGCCAACACGGCTCTCTCTCTCTGACGTCAGGGCCTGGGAGCGGCCGGCGGCCGACACTGGACCCGCGCCCCTACAGCGGCCATACATGTCCGCCAGCAACGACGATTGCAGGGTAGTCAATACCCACCGCGTCAGCAGGCAGGCAATTAACAAACCCAGTTTAGCCACGAAATAACTCACCGCCGCCAAATGTTGCACCGGTATTTCTAGACAAAGAACATTCATGTCGGGCCAGGTACCGCCGTCAGCTACCTTGTTTTCCGACAGTACGAAAAGCCAGCCGCGATCCCATCGTCACGAAGTAGACGATGTTCACAGGTGACGACGAAATCAGCTCTCCGGGAGTTCCAAGAACGCCCGACCGACACTGCCAGCGCAGGCAGCCCGCGGCTGCCGGCCCTGACCCGAGCTTTCCGAGCTCGCCGGGCCTCTGAGCCAGCTCACCATCCGCGCGCCCGCCGACCTTTCCCGAGCCGCCAGTCGCCGAGTCCTCCCTGGAAAGGAAACGCGACTGGAGCCGGCTGCCGGGGCAGCACCTGCGACTGGAGCCTTCCCGGCCGGCCGGACGGGGCTGCCACCGGCCGGCCGGACAGCGGCGCAGAGCACAAAAATGGAGCCGCGGCGCCGTACCGCGCGGCCCAGCGGCCAAAATTGAAGTGCCAGCCGGCTCACCAACATGACTCTGGGCACAGACGGGCCAGAAAATCGCCCTCGCCGCCCAGGAAATTGCCACCGGGTGCTAAATTCTAGATTGTTACAGCCTATAAGACTCGCAAGTGGTAGACCGCTTGGTCCGAGCATTCTAATGGCAATGTTAACAAAGCGAGCCAGCGACCTCCAAAAAATATGAGGTTATGAAGGGTCACATGGGCATGGGAAACATACCAAATGCAAAATGCTACCCGAGTTAACACAATCTTACTGCAATATGGTCAACGACACATAACTAGCAGTAGCAGCAACGTAGCAGCGTAACATCAAAATACAAGTATCCATTTCTACCTATCAAAACACTTCAAACGAAGCTCAACAAGCAACAAGTACACGGGAATGGTACCACTCATCTACTTTTTACTCAGGCTCGGGGTATCGGCTAGGAACGACGGTATCTGTCGGAGTCTGGCGTACCGGGGTTGATAACAAAGAACCCCAGCCAGGAACGAGGCTGGAGTAGTGGCAGGAGCAGGATGGTCGGCACCACGTCCTCCCAGGATATGCCGGTTCCAGGCCAGGAACAGGAGCGACTCCAGCGAGGTCCCAGCAGTGGCAGCAGGAGCACTGTATCTGCGGTAGAGGATGAGAAGGGCTCCGTGGAGGCGGGGAGGTCTGAGGTTAGAAAAGACCAAGACCGCGGGATAAGGGCGAGGGGCACAGTCAGAGTAAAGAGAAAACTAGGACCGAGGTCATTAGAAGGCTTTTGATGTTGGAGAACATATAAGAATGAAACGTACCCTTGGATGGAGTAACAATCAGTAGGTACTACAAAGGAACCCCACAGCCAGGCTTCTCTACAGAGGACATCTACGAGTAAGGATTAAGCTAATAGTTCCCTAGGAGCAGGTTGATGGAGCAGCAGTTGGTCAGGACCCAGGGAAGAGCACAGGAGTGCTCTGGGCGGGCAGAGTAATCGGAGGGCGGTGCCGGAGAGCGGCGACCGCTCGAGTCTGAAGTGAAAGGAGGGGTGAACAAACTGGCGTCGCCCGGAGCCGACGTGTAGCGGCGGGGCTAAAACAGGCCGGGACCGGGCGCCGGGTGACCTCAGGTCAGGTCAGGTCAGGTCAGCGGTACTCACCACCTGTTCGGTGAAGGTGCGGGTGGCCGGCGACTCAGCGGCCCCGTTCCGCTGACACGGGTACAGCGGACTGCAGCGCGCGCACGGGCCGTGGTACGAGCCGCTGCACTCTGTCGGAGAGACCAGGTCACACTTGTCACTGGCGTCGCCGGCGCTGCTACTGGCATTGTCACTGGCACCGCGAGCCGTGCCGCACAGCATGTAGTTATCCTTGTTGACGCGCGCAGCCAGCATCGCCGGGCTCAGGCGATCCTTCTTCGATGGCTTCTCACACCCGCTAGCACATTTCATATTTTCACTCGTGACATCGGCGCCCTTTGGCATCTTCTAGTAGCGCGTCGGGTACGGGGCGCGCTGCCGGCGCGGCCACCACATCGCACACTGCCCGACCGGCTCGAACCACTGTTGCCGAGTGGGCCCCCGAGCCGGTCGGCCGGCCAGCTCAGGGCCGCCGCGGCGGACACCGCTCGCGCATCCGCCGGCAGCGCCGCCCTGGCGGCCGAGCGCCGAACTAGCTTTGTAAGCAGCCGTCCCCGTCGGCCGGCCGGCCGCCCGACAACAAAGGCTGACACGGATGGGAATGCCGCAGGCCTTGATAGGGTCGCTAAGACCGACAGTCCGCGCGACATCAAAAATAGAGCACGCCTCACGAAGCTTTTGAGTTGGTGGAAACGTAACAATAGAGCTGAGCTGGAGGAAAGTCGCGGGTTAGGCCAGCTGGTGGTGTGTTATTTAGCTCCAAAACACCTGAAACACGTACCTACGGACCACTGCAAGCTGCCTAGGCAACATGACAACAAATGACTGAACATGAAATTCTTACAGCAAAGTTTGCAAACTTCGCAAGATGTAAGGAGCTCTGAAAAGCACGGCCCCGTCAATAAGAATTTCAAGCATCAAGTGCCAACTTATTCGCTTTTCTTACTTTTCGAGTCACAAAGTAACATCGTACCTACTAGTAAATCATTGAAGAGACCCCACGGGATGAAAATTCACACCCCGTATCTTCGATTCACCAGCGCTTATCATTTCAACAATGAAAGACCCACTGACGGCGAGCTCTCAATACTTGACCGACAAGCCGGCCGCTAGCACCGAATGTCGAGTGCTCTTAGGCTATGAAACCACCCTCTGTAAGTCTACCCCCCCCTAGGTAGGGCTTTCATCCAGCCAGCCCCTGGAATGCGATATGTGGTAGAAAAGGTAGACACACCAGTGTATGACTACACATAGTCCGGCCTATCTTGCATGACTACACACTACACAGTACACATAGTCTGGCCTATGTCTAGCTCCAATGACAGGCAGAGGTGCGTAGGTGCCGAATATCGTTTGACCGGTGACACCATTTGACATCGTTTGACCGGTGGGCCGTGGCCGTCTGGCGCACGGCCCGATCCGGTATATCTGGTGTGTTAGCCGGTTCGCCAGAGCGCCGCGCCGATCCATATCCCACAATGGAGCCGTGCATCCGAGCTGCCAGAGCCAGCCGGTCGGCAGAAATGAGCTCCCACACTGGAAAGCCGCCATCGGCACTAGAGTTGCAAAGTTTCCCCCAAAGGCTGCTACCGGCACCGCCACGCCCCACAAAAATTTTCTGGGATACCGGCATGCTACCACGCCCCAAGCAAAAAAACCGCCAAATTACCGGCATACTAAAAAACCTGCATTCTTGATTCTAGCTTATCCCTGCAAGAGATGCCACAGTTTGGCAGTTTCAGTAGGTACCCGTCCCACCCAGCAGCCATCCATTGTCCAACCACAAATACCAGCAGGCTGATTTTGGCTGAGTTGGCCCCACAAATACCCACAATTTTGAAACTCAATTGCAATTGCTGTTAAAATATCACCTGTAATCAAAGAAGTATTGCCTACAAAAAAAACTAACACATTCATCAAAAAGGTGAGGGCAAAAAGGACTTGAATTACTGAAATGTGTTTTTGAAGACTGGACAGTGAGCAGTTATCACATTTACATTTCACAGGTGTTCTACTTTTCCATATTCTCCTAACATGTTGCAGGCACCAGCCAAATGTTTAGAATCTAGATGGTCAAAACATAGGTAAACAAGTACAGATTCGGCCATCTTCCTAACTGAGGAAGCGAGATCAACATCTACTTTTTCCTATCCAATATGGCTTGCTGGTTCGTGAATAATATACGAATCATGTAAAAAAATGCGTTAATAACTCACTGGTCCTGAGAATAGTCACCAAATAATATGTAGGTACAAAAACGATATCTTCCATCCTCTCCAACCTCAAGCGGGAGCAAACACAAGAGGATGTCGAAACAGATGCGCCATAACAGAGGCTTTTAACCAGCTGATTAAAACGCTGCAAAAAAGTTTAACGACTGCAAGCTACTGCCTTGTGAATGATTATGTTGATAAAATTTAGCCAACACAATATTAAATCATAATGAATTCAACATTTTGATTGTAATTCACTACAAGAAAATTCATTTCTCTTCAGTTATTCAACCAAAAGGGTATATGAATAAATATTACGTCATCAGATTACATCCATTCATTAGGGGAGAGAGAATCTTAAAAGTAAATCCTTGGTTGTCTAATTATTTGCGCCACTTTGTGTCAATTTTGCCTGCATGATGTGTTTTCTTGTAAAGATAAGACAAAATGCCAGTTCAAATCCATTTTCATTTAACTATGGGACCAAAGTCAGGCTCAGGGCTACCTAACACCTGCCTTTTCAGATGGATTTTCAGTGTCAAATTCTTTGAAGAGTTTCTCAGACCACATCTCATGATCTCAGGACTCAAGGCCAGTTTCCAAACATTGTGTTTTTTGGTGTTTTGATTCCGCCTTTTCCCCGAGGGAATGTTGTCATGAACTTTTATTTAAGATTATGAGCATATTTTTAATTGACCGAATCCTCAATGTAATCTGAATAAAATGACAAATAGCAAAAATTCGGGTATATTCGATCACAGATCTTTGTCAACCGATACCAGCAGGCGCCACAATTGTAGATGTCAAAATACTTTTTGTTCAGTACACATGCACAACAGTAGATATGTCCTCAGGGAAAAGATTTATGGTTGATAATTCTAAAAGTCGCAGCAGTCAAACATAATATGTACAGGGAAAAACCTATACACAAGATTAAAGTGCGTGTGTGCCTAAGCATATACGAATTTAAGATGAAACAATACTTGCGGATCAATTAAATGGGCAGCAAGTTACACTCTTACCCTGGACAAAGTTAGGGCACATATAACATTTACACTGTGCGAAACAATTAAATGAGCATATTATACATAAATGAACATTATATACGTAAATGAGCATACATGAGCGTATTATCATACTATGACTACTCATACCCTGGACAAAGTTAGGGCGCATACAGCATCTATGAAAACGATCTACACAATCACTTTTTAACGTGGTGAGCTCTTGAAAAATGCTACCCTACTTTGGAAGTAGCTGCCAGGAGGTGCTGTTATCGTTAATAGCTGGCATCCTATCGCGGATGGTGATGGATTCAGCAATCCTCCTGTCAGCTTCATCCTTACATTTGCGTACGATGCGTGCTATCAGAGTCGTGTCCGTTGGGGTCAGGTCTGGGTGCTCGTGCGCGAAATGTTCACCCATTGGTGTGCCTAGTTTCTTGTTGGTGCCATCTCGTAAGTGTTCGTTATATCGCAGTCGTATTGGCCTACCGCTTTCTCCTACGTAAGTTTTGTTGCACAGACTACATTTCAATTCGTATTGAAATGTAGTCTGTGCAACAAAACTTACGTAGGAGAAAGCGGTAGGCCAATACGACTGCGATATAACGAACACTTACGAGATGGCACCAACAAGAAACTAGGCACACCAATGGGTGAACATTTCGCGCACGAGCACCCAGACCTGACCCCAACGGACACGACTCTGATAGCACGCATCGTACGCAAATGTAAGGATGAAGCTGACAGGAGGATTGCTGAATCCATCACCATCCGCGATAGGATGCCAGCTATTAACGATAACAGCACCTCCTGGCAGCTACTTCCAAAGTAGGGTAGCATTTTTCAAGAGCTCACCACGTTAAAAAGTGATTGTGTAGATCGTTTTCATAGATGCTGTATGCGCCCTAACTTTGTCCAGGGTATGAGTAGTCATAGTATGATAATACGCTCATGTATGCTCATTTACGTATATAATGTTCATTTATGTATAATATGCTCATTTAATTGTTTCGCACAGTGTAAATGTTATATGTGCCCTAACTTTGTCCAGGGTAAGAGTGTAACTTGCTGCCCATTTAATTGATCCGCAAGTATTGTTTCATCTTAAATTCGTATATGCTTAGGCACACACGCACTTTAATCTTGTGTATAGGTTTTTCCCTGTACATATTATGTTTGACTGCTGCGACTTTTAGAATTATCAACCATAAATCTTTTCCCTGAGGACATATCTACTGTTGTGCATGTGTACTGAACAAAAAGTATTTTGACATCTACAATTGTGGCGCCTGCTGGTATCGGTTGACAAAGATCTGTGATCGAATATACCCGAATTTTTGCTATTTGTCATTTTATTCAGATTACATTGAGGATTCGGTCAATTAAAAATATGCTCATAATCATCAATATGATTTTCCTCACTACGCTAAACTCTCTTAAATGAACTTTTATTTATTTTATTGTGCTATACGTATTACCTACCATTAGACTTACTAGTTTATCGTGCTTTTGCAACATGAATGAGTATTCTTCCTTTTATACACCACAGTAGATTCTTGACAATTCTAATTATAACCAAGCCTGTGAAATGCTGAGGTCCATGTGTTGTGTTACCACTACACTAAGCAATGGAACTTCTACCACAAAATGTATCTTGCAGTGGCTGATATTGCTGTTACTACATTTTGAGAGCCTCTTACTGTCCAAATTTTGAATCAGTTGCTGATATTTTTTTTTTGCACAAAATCAAAAATACCGGCATGCTACCGGCAAGACATGCCAGATACCACGAATAAACCTGCGGTAGTGAAAAATTACCGGCATGCCGGTAGTGCGGTAGGGAAATTTTGCAACTCTAATCGGCACCGTCGCGCCGGCGGCGGTTTCGGCGAAACAAGTTTTGTCGCTGAAGGA